AAACGCTTTGGAATAGTCTAAGATATTAAACCATGATCTGAATTGGCTTGTTTTGAAAATTAATCCAGTTTGGATGAACCAAGAAATGAGTGGTGTGGTGGCCTAGAGGTGGAGCTCTCACTTCACAATCAGGTGGCTGTGAGTTCGATCCTAGGCAGAGGCAGATACTTCTCTCTCTGGACACAATGAGTATATATCTGCTGAATATAACTCCACATTAGTGACAGGAAGGGCATCCGGCCAGTAAACACTCAGCTCCATTCAGTTGCCCAGACTCCAGGGGTGGGATGCTACCGGTTTGGCCCGGTTCTATAGAACCGGTTTGGCCCGGTTCTATAGAACCGGTAGCTCTGAAGAGCAACAAACACTGAAGCGGTTCGGTGCGATGACCCTTTGGTCGTCTGCTTGGCCCACCTACTCCCCTGGGCTCTTGGCTGTCTTTTATTTCCTGCTTTTTCAACCTCAGTTGCTTTGCGCAACACAGCTGATTTGAAAAAGCAGGAAAGAGGAGGATTTTCCAATGCTGCGCATCCACGCACTGTGCTTATCAGCTGTCTGGAAGGCATAGCTGATGTTTTTTGGGAACTGCTCTACATGCACGCGCAGCAAAACGCACTCTCACCGAACCGGTATTAACACCAGTTAAATCCCACCCCTGCCAGACTCCACCTTGCAAGGGATTGTGGGGTCATTAAAAGATGGTGATTGGATGAACCAAGAAATGCTCATTTATGGAAGTTTCTACTGGCTTATTTTGAGGAATAAGAAAGAATATGGGTAAAGGCTAGTTAGAACTCTGCATTCACATATAAACTATTTGTGAATCATAAAGCTGAATTGTAACTAGCCTGTCTTAGTTCATATATAATTCTCCAAACTTAAATCCACTCTTTACACAAAACACAGCACACTGAATCACAAACTAGCCAAACACATATCTGGACATTGTATATTATGCAAATACAGTCTATGTCAGTGGCCCCCAACCTTTTTTGTGCCGCGGACCGGTACCAGCATCACAAAATCATCCGCGGACCGGTACCGGCATCAGCATGCATGGCAAGGCGAGCCGAGCGACCGGCCAGCCAGCCATCCCCCGCTTCTCCCTGCCACCTTCAACTCCTCCTTTGTACCTGTGTCGATGGGCTTCGCGATGGCTTCGGGATGGTCGCTCGGCTCGCCTTGCCATGCGTGCTGAAAGAATCCTCGCGCCTTAGTTTTGTTCAAAGCCGCCCGCCCCCCCTCGATGAAACTAAGGTGCGAGGATTCTTTCAGCACCCAAACGCCGCTTTCCAACCAGAAAAGCTCACCGGAAGCACTTTTTCATCAAAACAAGATGGCGGCGCCCAGCAAACCGGTGGCCAGGTAGAAATTGTTCCACGGACCGGTACCGGTCCGGGGACCGGTGGTTGGGGACCCCTGGTCTACGTGATTAGATTCAGGCAAACCTTGAAAATTGGATCGAGTAAACCATGGTTCACTTAAGCACATGTGTTATGAATGTTGCCATAAACACAGAAGTTTTGCCTGTTTTGCTAATCCATAAGGCTGTTCAATATTAATCTAGCAGCAGTATTTTGACTACAAGGTCAAGAATAGGATTTACTGGTGCAAACTGCTTGCGCCACAGAAGAAGCTTATCTTTTTCAAGGATACATTCATGTGTCATTTAGCACAGAGGTCGCCAACCTTTTGGACCTCAGGGACCACCAAACTCATAATTTTAAATCCCGTGGACCAGAGACCCTGGTAAAATCCCCCAAAAAGTCTGCAGGAAAATTCCCCACCTCGTTTTTCTACCAATCATTCTTTTTTTTTTTTTAACATTACAAATTGATCATTCTTTATTTGGGATCACAGGATATCATCTCCAGCTCCGTTCTCAGGGAGGGAGGGAGGGAGGGAGGGAGGGAGAGAGAGAGAGAGAGAGAGAGAGAGAGAGAGAGAGAGAGAGAGAGAGACTGACTGACTTTTGGCTTCATGCAAGGAAATAAGCAGAAGCAGCAAAAGTCTTTCTTTCTCTCCCCCAAACTCCACCAGAAATGAGTCTTTGCCGGCACAGCCTCTTGGAGCAGGATGCCTTGCAGGGTCACAAAGGCTCATTTCTGGCAGAGTTTGGGAGAGAGAAAGAAAGACTTTTGCTGTTTTCCTTGCATGCAGCCAAAAGCAGAAGAAAGAAACGGCCCAGTGGCCAGGCGAGGTGCATGGGTGAGTGGGGCAAGTTCCCCCCTCCACCCTTTCCCCGCTCCGCTCATTACCTCATGTTGTTTTCAATGCAAGTGACAAAAGCCTTGTGTTCCCACGGGCCATGTGGGCAGTGCAGCCTTGTGTTCTTGTGCAGCCTGGATTAATTGCTTTGGGGGGTGCTTTGGGAGTGACATTTCTCTGCGGACCACCAACATTTTCTCGTGGACCATCAGTGGTCCCCGGCCCACTGGTTGGCAACCATTGATTTAGCACATTGTCAAATTAGGAAACTAGGAACATTCCTGGCCCTCTTCCTAATATGGCATATGGTATCTACAAGTAATTCAAGTTATCTATTTAAATAATCCAAACATTCACCTGTTTAGATGCTCACATAAGAGAATTCCATGTAGTATAAGCCATTATGGGGTAAACTTTGATTAGTCAGGTCGTCACTGAATAATTAAAATTTTAAGAGGTGTAACTCCATCTCTTCTAAGTCAAATAATGTGTTGCTCATTCTATTTTGTAATCTAAATCAGGGGTCTCCAACCTTGGCAACTTTAAGCCTGAGGACTTCAACTCCCAGAATTCCCCAGCCTTGAAGTCCCCCAGGCTTAAAGTTGCCAAGGTTGGAGACCCCTGATCTAAATGACAAGGAGAGGGTCTTAAATTATTCCAGGGATTAGAGATATTGCAAGACGCAATTTTGTAATTGTTGGACTGAACTTAGGGAGACATATAAGTCTACAGTATTGTTGCCTGACAACCAATTACAGCTGCTTAATTACTCACCAATTTAAACGGAGTCATGTTAACTCAAGCCAAATACAAACAGAACACTAAAAAACAATCAGGCACAGGGAAGAAGTCAACAAGTATGTAAGGCAAACAGATTGAGATTGTATTATCCAGAAACCAATTAAGAACATATGCCAAAATTAATATACCAATCTATAGCAGACCCATCAATTTTAGTAAGTTGACCTCATCAAAGTAGCAATTAATCTCCCAAAGATTAGTTAAAACAAATGCCTTTTTATAATCAGCCCAGACTGTATGTAAATTGGTTTTTTGATTTTTGTACTTCTACAGAATCATTTAATCAATCAGAAATTGATCTTTTGGGTCTCTTTTTTTTCCTTTTTTTTTTTCCCTACTGGGAGGATGTTATTTTCTTCTAAATCATCTTGGATGCTGTCCACTATGATTCTTGTGAGCAATTTAAGGATTGTATGCAAGCACGTTATCAGCCTATACTTTCCCTGGTGTTGTTCCTTTCACTAGGTCTTTTTGAATCAGATGTTTTGCCAATTATTAACCAGTAGCTGATGTCTTCTTTATGCAATACTTCATTAAGCTGTTTAGTTATAATTGAGATATAAGCTAGTCAGATATTATAATTATTATTATTATGTTTCATTGCACAGTCAGCCAGATGTTTAGACTGGATTTGACATTTTTATCCGCCTACTAAGTCCTTCACAAGGATCTGGAATAGGCAGAAGTTGTTTAATAGCCTTAAGATGTTGTTTAAAGATATTGTTATTATATACAACATCAGTGTTGTATTAACCATTAAGCAGACTAAGCATGTGCTTAGGGCACCAGACCCAAAGGGGCACCACAAAGTTGAGAATAGGGCTTCATTTGTACAGTATGTGTTAGGAATGTAAGTCATCTAACAGCTATTTGGGTTGGAAATATATAAACCAGGATAGACATTTTAATACTGTATCTTTAAGAAAATGCAAAACTGTAATTGGGTGTGGTTGCTCAAACGGCCACAAGATGAAGCCAGAAACCTGGATTCTCTTAGTCTTAGTCTCAGAAGAGAGTGTGAGTGAGTCTCTGTTCCCTTCTGTTGGAGAGTTTTGCCGTTCCTCCTAATTGACTGCTATTCTTGGATTTGATCTAAGTCTGATACTGAACTGTTTTTGATACTGGAATTTGTTATTGGATTATCCCTGGACTGAAAACTGACTGATTTAACCTGTGAATGACTTTGGACTGTGTCTGAACTTTGCTTAAACTTTATTGAAAGTAAAAACCCTACATTTACTGTACAGTGTATCTGTGTGCTGTGTGTGTATTATTCAACACTTCTCTCAATACGTCTCCCTGTACGCGCTCATTCTCCTAACAGAATTACCTCAACAGTATGTACAAAGGAGGGGGGCACCAAGATTTGTCAGTGCTTAGGACACCAGTGAGTCTTAATCCACCACTGTGCAACATGAAATCCTACCAGTTCCCATTGCCACTGTTAATCAAATCCCACCATTTGCTAGGCAGGGATCCACCCAGATCCAAGCCATTTCTAGCTTGGTCCCTCTCAGATCTGAGCCACAGGTTCCAGGTATGGGACTGTTCTGACCAAGGCTTATGGAGATACTAACAAACACACGTTAGTCCCAAAACCCTTTTTTCTTTATTTTAACGGCTGTGAATTTTAATCATTCACAGCCCGTAATGAGTCTGAAATAGTTTGTAAATAGTCCCATGGAAGTCTGCCAAAGTCCTTCAGGATAAGTCTGATAAGCATGCACCTTTATCTTCCTTGAAATGCTGCCAATGACTAAATGTCCAATTAGTTATATGAGGCCAAAACAGAACACAAATTCAACACCGAGCTTCTGGTTTCAAACCGACCAGTATGAACAAAGTTGCTTCCTGCAAAGATTCCTGTCCCTTTGCTCCTCCTTTATGTCTTATGGGAGGGCCAGTCACCCCAAAGCCTTACTTCCAAGTCACCCCTTTTGTCTTAACTGTTCTTGCCTTCTGGCAGCTCTGTGCACATGCGCACTGGGAACAGGGTTCTTGCTGCTGTCAGATTTTGAAGGCTCCGGAGTCAATACATAACTCCCAAATGGCCCTGGCCCCATCTCTGTATCAGACGTAGGACCCTCATCTGAGTCCTCCCCAGACTCCTGGACTGGCCATGTTCCTCCCCACTGTCCGACTCTGCTGCCGTTGGACTACCACAGTGACTGCCACAGTGATTTGAAATCCCACCTGTATATCTCTCCCCCTCAGTTTCTGCTCTTTTGATTGGTTAATTCTACTGAAATTGTAGAAGGTATGTTATGCAAGCAAAAGAGAGGGGGTTGTTATTGTTTTCATCTGCAATACAAGAGAACGATGAATCTCTCCTTTTTTTTAAGAAACAAGGCAGTTTTTGTTTTTGAAGTGCTGGGTAAATCCTGGGCTGAAAAAAAAATCCAGAATTGTAAATAGCATTAGTGTGGGATTCTGAGGGAATGGAATAAGTTAACATTGAGTGCAGGATGACTAACCTGAGGTCCCAACCTTTTTTAGAGTCCCTAGAAAAACTCTACATCTATGGTATGTTTTTCAGCTTATCTTGAGACACAAAATACAAAAAAAAAAAAAAAAAAAAGGCCATTCCTACTTCAAATAGTCAAAAACTTCAGAAAATCAGAGCCCATCCATTATAAAAAAATAAGAAGGAAAAAGTACAGCATGGCTTCATATTTATTTAATATGCCAAACAAAGACTTAGCTGTTTCTGAGTTGATATTAAAAAAGAACATTATCTTAATTCCAGCTTCCTCAGGAGGTTGAGCTTGAGGCATCAGTTTTCAGATATAAAAATCATCACATTCTCCGTGGATCAAAACAGATGCAGTTTGGATACACAGAGCAGATATTTTGGGTATATTTAATGAAAAAGATTAATAGTTTGTGTGTATATATGCCTGCCAATACATGATAATTTAAAAAGCACTGGCAATTTTATTAGAGAACAAACTGCTGGAAGAAGAAAGTTATCCTCTGCTATCCCCTGCTGTTCAAAAACATTATTGCATGCTCATTGCTATACAGTACTGTTGGTTGCAAACACTGTAGAGTACCATGCCATAAATTAATTGGGATGTAGCAGGGGGGAACAAACAAAATAAAGTGTGTCTATCACTAATATTCACCCCATCTTACCAGGCAACTCCAGACAATCAGGATCCTTCACCCTTTTTGACAGATTTCTGGGATATGTGTGTCTGTGTGTATGTCCTCGGCTAACCTGCCATTATTTATTCTTGAATGGGCAGAGCAACATTCCCAGGAAGCAGCTTTTAAAAAGGCGCATTCCAATCTTCACTCTTTCAGAGCATATTGTGTCAGCTTAGAATCCAACAGCAGAGGGATTAAGAAAAGACGGATATTTATTTGAACAGAAGTTATGCAGAAGGGATTTGAGAGAATAATTAACTGCACAAACTGCGTGAAGCTGAAGGCTGCATTCCAAATCCAGCATTTGTTCATCTGTAATTGGTCTGAGCAAATAAACAAGGATATGGAGATCTACAGAACTGGAGCAGAAACCAAACTGCCTGCAGTTAAAACTGCAACATTGAACAGATTAAACTGCAACCTCACACAAGTCAGGTTTCCTGCAACTTTCCCTTCCTACTACATTCCTCCAGTTTCCTAGACTTTGGGCCTGAATTGTAAGACTCAGTTGCATGCATTCTTCTTCCTGTCCTCCTCCTCCCTCTCCCTCCTTCCCACCCTCTCTCTCTCCCCCTTCTGATTATCTACTCTCTGTAGGGCTCCTCATTGAAAACAAATTCCTAATTTCTCACTTCCCAAATCCTGTCCCTTGTCTCCACATATCTTTAACGTGACTTGCAATTGGCAAGGTAATTATTGAACTACATAATAGCGAAGAGATTTGTATCATACCTTCTGAGGAGCTATATGGAAGATGTGCTAATGGAAATGGAGAAGCTTAGCAAAAACTGCCAAAGTAAAAAGAAAGTTGGAAAGTGAGATTAAAAATTAATTTGTTTGTTCTTAGTGAGCAGATTTGTTTTAGCAAAACTTTGGAGTTTACATACTACTGCAGATTCATGATATATAAAAGTACAGGAAATACCATCGATTGAAAAATTAGCAACAAAGTGTTGTGAAGAATATGGAACAATTAAATATAAATTCCCAAGAAATAACCCCCTTCCCCCTATTTGTAGAAATGACTTTTCGGATGGAAATACTGAATACGGATGTCTGAATCCATGCATTTAATCTGATGTTTACCGATATATTTTTATATTCACAACCGATGGTGCGTGCATCCTTTCCCCCTCTATGCTACCTCACTGTGGTGATGATGGTGATGTTAACAGGAGTAGTGAGTGAAAAACATCAGGAGCCAAATATATAATCCCAACAGAGTCATCCAAAGGATGAAGATCTTCCCAGCCGCCGAACTAAAGGAAACAGGTACTATTAGGCGCCAACAATATAGGAAGATCTTAGAAGAGCTGATCACTTTAGTGACAATGGCAAAGGCAACAATTCATACTGCAGTTAATGGAAAATCACTCTTGTATTTAACAAAAAAAACAAAAAACACCACCACCACATAGATAGGCAATATAAAATGACAGATGATATAGTGCCACATGATATGTTTCTCAAATCAGATGGCGCTCAACATCACACTAAAGAAATGCTGAGTCTCTTTGGGAATATTAATGGTGTTTATGACATGGCTACATTAAAGCCCTTGGGTCATCTAGTTTCAGAATTATGCAGGTAATGTTTTTTTTTTCCGTGATATTCCACAGAAATCAAAGTTGGACTTTGAGAAGATAGAAAGAACATTAGTGCTTTCAACATTAGCTTGTTTTTTTAAAAAAGAATGCAAATGATCAGCTGTCTATAAGGACTATAAATCCTTCCATATCCCACCATCCAGTCAGAGCTGAAGAAGCTTCTTGGATGAGAAATGTCTTCAAAGAAAAACAGAAAGTCCAGTTGCCTCTTGAAAAAAGCACCTTTGGGACAGCTGAAGCTTAATTTTTGTGAAATTATATTCAGAAATTCTCTGAGATCTTCTTTTAATTTTGAATACCGCAGTTACTGAATGGTTGAAAGTTTGGTTGTGATAGCCCTCTGCTGGTCTATACTCAAAACTAATTTTTATCATCTTTTATCTGCTTGTACATACAATATAGTAAGAATATTTCCAACGTATGGAAAACATATTTTTATTTATTGGAGTTATAAAGTTGTATATAATAATGATATTGTCATGGCCGCCATCCTGCTAGCATTGCTTCACATTCTGCAGCCTGACTTTTTGCAATGTGGGGAAGGAGGAGAATGGAGTCCGGGAGGATGAAGGGGGGTCTGGGATCCAGACAGTACCGGCCCAAAGAGGGAGATGCGCCAATCCAGCCCAAGCTCACCTAAAAGAATGTGGAGACGAAGCAGGCGTGCACAGAGGGTCCCTTACCCAAACAACCTGAAACTGTTTTAATTGATCGAAGACTGGTAACAGGGGGAAATCCTAGGAAAAAAAGGAAGTGAAGTATATTGTTTGCATGCCAATTTGGTAGATTCTGCTTGGCTACTTCTGTAACTACTTTTGCTTCAGTAAAGTATATTCTTGGTCAAAATAATGGTCTAAGGGTCTTTCTTTACTGAGTGAGACAGATGACATTAAGTGGAATCTGCCAAATTGGCACGCAACCAGATGTATTCAAGTACTTGTATGAGGTATCACGTTGTTTTTCTTGATCAGAGTATAATAAATCTATTTAGACATGATTCTGTCGGAGGTCTGTAACTGTTTTGTTCCCAGATATACTATTTCTAAGCTGTATATATTAAGCCTTCCCTTGTAACTAATATGCATATAAGAACTTGCAAATTTAACCTTGTACTCCACCTTGCCAGAATTTTTAACCTAATCTTTATATGTATGTTTCTTATAATTATTCGCTGTTTCTATATTTCATCCAGTTTTACAACTAAGTTGTCCTTTACAACTTTAAATGCTGCTTTGACTTCTTCAGTAAATAAATGTATGGGGTGATGAGTGAGGATGGGGGGAGGGAAACTACATACTAGGACTTTATTATCTGGAATCTGAAAACTGCATTTACTTCTAGGCTTAGTATGTGGTTTCCATTTCACCATCGCTAGATGAGAGATAACAACCAACGGAAGAAAAGAAAGGTCAGACAGAGATCAAATTGCAGAAGGAAAAGAGTTATACAACCCTACAATATTGTAAACCTTGTCCTCTTCACCTACTATCTCTGATGGACTATCTTTGAAAAAATGCAGCCCTTAGCAGAAAAAGGTTACAGTATAGAGTTCAATCCACACAATAGATTGAATACGTGAAACTACATAAAAAAGGTTTCCACAATTACAAGACAGGGAAACTTCAGAGCCTGAACAGATACTGTTGTTCACACATTACCCTAAACTACTATTGTATTTTGGCGAGGAATTGATTGGGCATGTTAAGGTAATCCAATCTATTATAATAGCTGGTTTGAGATTTTGTTCCTTAAATTAGCAGATGGGCGGGAAGGCTTCTCCTTGCTCAAAAAGAAAAAAACATGCCATCAGATATAAGTGTAGTAATTCTTAAAATACAGGAAATCAAGACAATGTATTATCTAATTACATCATGCAACACCAACCTTTGTCATTCTATTGTAAATCCATGCAATTCTTCCACCCACTTATCAATTAATCCTGAACTGCTTGTTATCCAGGTGCTAAATACATTCCTTTGAAGTGAGTCCAATACAATTGGGTAGAACCTGCTTCAGTGTAACATGCTTAAGAGCTGGTGCAGCAGGCCAAAGCATTTTGCTCTGCAAGACAAACTCGGTAAATAGCTCTCTTTCTCACCATTTCGTAACACCTATTAGTTTGGCAAATGAAACAGCACCTTTCCTTTGGAATGAAAAAAACAAACAAACCTAAAATCAACAAACCAGCTGTGCTTTTCATGACAAATCAGCAGAGTTGGGACTACTGAATACATTGAAGTCATTCTGGAAAAATCTAGGATTCCTTTGGGTTATGCAAGATATGACATTCTGACTTTCTCACTTGGGAACTGTCCCAATAGATACACAATGGCGTTTAAACGTTTGTGAACTCTTTTGAATTTTCAATACTTTTTGCATTAATACAACCTAAAACATGATCTTTTCTGCACACAAGTCCTAAAAGTAGATAAAGAGAACCAAAACAAACTAAACAAAAATATCATCACAAATGCCCATCCATTGATAATGTACAGTAGTTTGAAGTCACAATAGATAAGGAAGGAAATCACAATAGATAAGGAATAAGGAAGGAATTCTTGACCTGTATTTGGGATGGCACACACCAGTATTTAGAATGCTGCAATTTGGTCATCCTACTTAGCCCAGCCAATTGATTCTCGGACTTGCAACTGAAAATCCTACAATCCACAAGAGGATTTAATTTGGTTGGACTGGTGGTAGTGGTGGTGGCAGTAGTAATGGTTGAAGCCTCTACTCCTTAATGCAGATCGCACTAGAGACAAAGGCAAGGAATTATTCTTTATTTTTTCTCCTTTTCCCTTCTCTGAATTGCAAAAGATTGAGCAGACAACTTCTCCTGGAAGGATGAGTTGCTTGCTTGCAACTCATACCAAATCTGCAACTCATACACAAAAGATTGACTCTGGATGTTTTATGAACTTCCCACCTTATATTCCAAAAAGTCTAAAATAATTGCCTTAACAATACAAAGATTTGAATACGGAAGATAGAGATAAGCATCTATTACGTAAAGCTGACACTATAAATTGCTCCTATGCTTCATTGTTTTCTTGGGGGGGGGGGGGGGGGGGAGCCAACACAGATCTCTTGGTGACTCAACCATTTTAACATTTCCCTTTATTCTCATAATTTAATTTATTTTATTATGTTTTGTATTTTTCATATATGTGAAACTAGTTAACCTCCTGGATAATATTGCTGAAAAATCAGTGTAGCCAATGGTTCTGAGAAATGCAGAGAAATGCAGAATTGTTTAAAAATAAAAAATAAACTTTACAAAAAAATAAAATAAAGAAATGCAGAATTGCAACAATGTAAATGTTTGGGAATCAGAATAATCTAAACTCTTTTGGATGATCTCTTAAGGGCTACAAAATAATAATAAACATATTTCCATGTATGTGTTGTTGTTGTTGATAATCTGAGACAAAAATATTAATGTAATCTAGATTAATGTTATCATACAAGTCACATTTTCAGTGTATCAAGTTCTGGGTTCAGAATATTCACTTGTCTATTACTAGAATTTTAAATTATCTCTGATTTTTGTTTCAATGTAATACCTTACCGTATCATCCATATAATAGGTAGCTTAATTCCAGAACATTAACCCAAGACTAAATTATTTTATTGTGTAATTTCAAGAATTTATTGTATATAACCATGGAAATTCATTCAGGTAGAAACATAATATAGTTACTTTGGACAAAGAAATAATACACAAAATGAATTCAAAATTTATTTAATCATCTTCAGGAAAACAAATTACCAGATTTCTGAGCTATACACATCTATTGTTTATCTTCTGCTTCCATGGGAGCATCTGATGATTCTTCAGCTTCTGAAAGCTTCTCATCATCTGAAATATATCCAAAATAAACATTTAAAAAAATACTAATATTGCAATGACTATTTAAGTAGAGACGTTGATAAGGAAAAACATTACCCATTTCTCCTGCACTCCCCAACCTTATGTTTTTCATTCTCATAGTTTACCACTGCTTAGTTTGCTTAGTTTACTAACAGTTGCTTAAAACGGATTCCCCCAAAAGGGACTTACAACCCGTTTTTGAAGTTCCAGTGTCACATGATCGCACTTTGAGTGCAAAGGCAACTGGCCCAAATGACCACAACAACTGCTTAACGATTGTGACATTTATTCATTCATCCATTCATTTGTTTTCTATAGTGTCCCATCTCAGCAAATGACTCTATAGCAGGGTTGTCAAACTCCTGGCCAGATGTAACACGCACTGGCCACGCCCACTAACTGAGTCTTTAAGTTATGAGTAATAAGGGCAGCATTCAGAACTTGACATTTAATAAAGGTGTTCAGAATACCTTTGAGCCAATGAAAATTTGGAGGGTGAAGCAGATATATAAAAGGGAGGGAGGCTGAGGAAAACCATGTTGTTATGTACGACAGTGGAATAACTTACTTTCCAGTGTTTGCTGAAGTTCATGGATGGTGCTCAGAAGAACGTGAAATTGCTTTCGTCTCAACTCCAGCTAAAGCACAGAAAAGAAATATACTGGAGAATATGGGCTTTTACAGAAGACTCCCTATTCTGAATCAATAAGCTTGTGAGATAAACTTACTTTGTCCTCAACACTTTCTTTGATATGAGACAGATGCTGCAGTTCTTTTCCCAGAGCTTCCAACTGCCTGAGAACATATTAAGTGCATTGTCACTTAATACATAGTACCTTCAGTCATTTTATTTTAATCTTTTATATTGAATACTTTAACTGTTTCAAAATCCCCTAAGTAGTTCATTTGCAAATAATAATGCAATTCTGATTTAAACCAATTAACCAGACAGAACAGCAGTAAAATACCATAAGCGAAGTATGAAAATGTCTGCACCAATAAAAAAAGCATTGGAGAGAAAGCAACCTGTCTAATTTTCTTCTAGAAACCTTGGGGGGGGGGGGGGGGGGGGGGGGGGGGGGGCGCGGCAAGGAAAGATTCCAAAGGCAGATTACTCAGTTGAGGATGCCTCCTCTCACCTTTAATGGCAAAAGAAGCCATTATTGTAATTCAGGCTTGTGCAAAAGCAATTTATTTGAAATGTTCATTGAGAACTCAAAAAATTAAAGTAGCACTTTCAATTGTGCCTGGAAATGAACTCAATGAAAAAGCCATTTTTCAAGACCAGTAAAACTAATCCAAACTTCATTTTCTCTAATGTTCTCAAAAACAGGAGTACATACTGTTAATTGGTATACTACCATTCCCTATACAGGTAGTCCTTGATTTAGAATAGTTGGTATGACGACCATTCAAAGTTACAACGGCACTGAAAAAAGTGATTTATGAACTTTTCTCACACTTACGACCATTGCAGCATCCCAAGGGTCATGTGATCAAAATTCAAACACTTGGCAACTGACTCATATTTATGACAGTTGCAGGGTCCTGGGATTATGTGATCACCTTTTGTGACTGTTTGACAAGAGATCAATGTGGAAGCCAGGTTCATTAAACAACTATGTTACGAATTTCACAACTGCAGTAATTCACTCAACAACTGTGGCAAGAAATGTTGTAAAATGGGGCAAAACTTATTTAACACATTTGTGGTCATAAGTTGAGGACTACCTGCAATTAGGTCTTAGAACTTGTAGGATGAAGTTGGGCTGAGAATAATTGCCCCCAAATTAGTTGTCTTTGTGGGGACCTAAATTAGGGTATTTCCATTTAAGCCCAATATCTTTGCCACTATATTATAATGTGCAAATGTTAAAAATTTTCATATTAATAATGGTTATGCACACATAAATTATTTTGCCACTATTACCTGATAGCGATACTCTGTAATGTATTTGCTACTTGAGTTCATTTCATACTTACTTCAATGTTTCATGTCTATCTGGATGTTGCTGTATTATTTTAGCCAAGTTATCATATTCTGAAAAGAATAAAACATGGATCATAGTCCACATTGTTCCAATACCACAATGTATGACATTTATTAATTCAAATACTTTTAAAGTGTATATTCTATTTTGTGTGCAGGAATTTGAAAGTCCTTTCTTTTTCTTTTTCTATTTTTATTATTATTTTGGGTGAACTATAAACAATATAATAAAACAAAAGGAAAACAATGTAATAGTGATTAGATAATCTCAAAAGGGTTTAATTGGCAAAAACTGGCAAAAAACCTTTCCTTTTTTACTTATGTTACACAGTCCTGCAGCATCAATGCTAGATGCAAGAAGTAAACTTGATCCTTAAAAGAGAGTAAAATTCCTCAAAACAGGATTTTTTACTCTCTTTTAAGGAATTCTTCTCTTAAAAATTCCTCAGAAGAGGAATTCTTCTTACTTGCTTGAATCTTGTCCACATTCACTTTCACCCTGTTCTACCAGTCACTGTTGCTTATAGACTGGAGATATTCAAAAGTTTAGGTGACAGCCAACAGCCCTTGTATGACCCTCCCGATAAGACTTCATATAAACATTGAATAATGCGGGAGACAAGCTAAAATCTTGTGGAATCCATAAAATAGTTCTTCAGGTATCAAGTAGATATCTCAAACTATTATTTTCTAAATAGAACATGAAGAAATAGTTGTGAAAATATCAAAAGTGCATTTCCACCCCTTCCCCTTTGCTTCCCCACAAGCATTCCAACAAGATACTGTGTACAAAAACCACTGAGAGATGAAAGCATGTCCACAGGAACATAATCTATCCTCTTTTGGAGACCAAAATGATTTCCTTGCCATCGCCATGTCTAAACAGAATCAAGATTTCGTCTAAGAGTTCCTGGAGTTGCATTCTCCATCAGTTCAGTGAAGTATGAGATATCGAACCCTATCTAAAAGTTATTAATATAGGATAGATCCACAATTTTTAAGCAAAGTTCTCACCAGCTCTTTTAAGAGGACATGGATTTCCATCTGCTAAAAAGCATTATTACTTTCAGTAGTAGACTCTTTAGAGATCTTTGTATCTGAATAAGTTCTCCAAAAGATTCAGAAACTAACTAAGTGCATACAATCCAAAATCACAAATCTGTTTGAGGATGCCTAGAATCACTTGAAAGTTAAAGTCCGAAACGAACTTATCTATCAGTCACAATCTAGAAAGAACCATCTCTGCTGTGGCCTCCACCGTTTGGAACACTTGATCGCCAGAAATGAGAGCTGCTCCCTCCCGCTTGGCCTTCTGGAAAAGACTTAAAATCTGGGTCTACCCACTGGCTTGGGGCCCCAATAGGGGTGCTCTACATGCAGGGTGATTGATGTGGTAGAGAGAAGATCCCACCCTCTGTGCCACCCATTCTCTTCATTTTAAGTTTCTATCTAATTCTTGTTCATTTTAATTGTTTTTCTATTAGAGCCCTGATGGCATAATGGTTAAAGTGCACTATTGCAAGCAAATTCTGCCCACAGCCTGGACTTCGATCTTGACGGGGGCCCAAGGTTGACTCAACCTTCCATTATTTTGAGGTTGGTAAATTGAAAACCCAGATTATTGGGTGCAATATGCAAATAATGCTTCTACATTATAAACTGCCAGAGTGCTGTAAAGTGCTATGGGGCGGTATATTAAGAGGTGTGGTGACACAAGTGGTTAGAATGCAGTACTGCAGGCTACTTCTGCGGATTGCCAGCTGCCTGCAATTTGGCAGTTCAAATCTCACCAGGCTCAAGGTTGACTTCGCCTTCCATCTTTCCGAGGTGGGTAAAATGAGGACCCAGATTGTTGGGAGCAATATGCTGACTCTGTAAACCGCTTAGAGAGGGCTGTAAAGCACTGTGAAGCAGTATATAAGTCTAAATGCTATTGCTATATAACCCTAAATGCTATTGCTGTATTATCATTTTATTATTTTGTAAATTGCCAGAGTTGTTTCAACAGGAAGATGGGGGGCATCAATTTAATAAACAAATAAATAAAAGTTGTCAACTGCAAAGTAAACCTTACCTTGGCGGTTTTTTCGTATCCTTTTTGCTTGAAGAATTTGCTTCTTGCACTCAGCAATTTTTTCATGAGCTGCAGCTATGTTGTTTTCTTCCAAAGAAATAAAATTAACAACATAATAAATTTATAAATCTCACAATATTACTGAACTATAAAAATTACACCAATCAGTATATAGCAACATTATCCAAATTGATTTTCATCTCCAGAATTTTAAATAGACCAAGAAATTAAAATATATTGCATTTTCTGATATTGTAATTACTGACAAAGAATGTTTGTCTGTGTGCTGAAGCTAGTTATTTCTATAAAAATGGGAGACAATTAGAAGAATCTGGTTCTAAGGTTGATTAGACATAATATAAATGTTTACCGGTCTGTAATCACAATCTTGGATAGCTTACTATGAAAACAAATTAAACTACTTACAATGAACCAATAAAACATATTATAAACTGTAGAACGGTAACAAAAGCAACATTAATTAAAATGGAACAACTCAAAAGACCTGTGCTAAAAAAATACTGCTTCCACAAAAGTGAGATCAATGCAGTCGCCACTTCTAACATCAAGTCAACATTTTAAACTAAGAGATGGGCTGGGAACCAGCGAAGGTCTTAGAGTTCTGACATGGTGATTTATCACTGTCAAATTATCTTAAGTTTCCAGAATATTTTCAAAACCAGTTCCCACAAAACATGGTAGTAAACCAAATGGAAAGTTACTTGATTATAGCTAATGATGACCAGACAGTATAACAGCTAATGTGCTAGCCTAAGCTAGTAAAAACTGATCTATGAGGTATTTTATCATCTCTAAATTAAAATCCACCACATAGGAACTGAATTTAAAAAGTGTACAAACTTTCTGAACATTATTTCCATGTGAACCTTCTAGGATGCTATCCTAAACAAAGGCAAAAAAGTTGCCTTTAGCATTTATTTTTCAGTTTACATTACAAGATAGAAATAAATCCATCTTACCCTCAAGAACAATTGTAAGAAAGAATTACACCTATGGGGGTTAAAACATTCTATGGTATCAATAGAATACCATACGTTCTTGTCACGAGAACTGCACAGAATATTTGAGGTTGGACTGTTCCAATATCTAACTAAAAGCATCTCAACCTGAACCAGCCTTCAGAAGAGGATGACTAGGGTTAGAGCACTGGTTCCCTGGGGGGCGGTGGGATGCCTTAGGGGGGCGCTAAGAGGCAAGGGGGACAGCAGGGGGGCGCTAAGAGGTGGCAGGGGGATGTTCGAGGCGCTGGCCCCGCAGGCTCACTGACTGCCGGCCACGCAGCCATTGATTGTTTCATCGCTCTGTAGCTGGCGCCTCGAATGTGGAACTCGCACGGTGAGCCTTGCCAAGCCTGGGGGGGGGGGGGGGAGGTGGGAGGTGGCGGAAAGGGAGAGCCTTAGCTTGCAGGCTGCCATCGCCAATGGAAGCGGCGGAAGCATGCCAGAAGGCCCGAAAGCAAAACCCTCCCAAGGCACGCAGTGGAAGGGGTGGGTGGTCCGGCGTTAGGGCCCTCTTCCCCAGAGGAGAACAAGGGAACGCGCAGCGCCCGCCTGGCCTCCGCCTCTCCAGACAGCCGGGCTTGCGCACAGGATGCAGGTGGGTGCAGCTGCGGCTCTCCAAGGCACGTGGCTCAGTTCAGTTCGGCTCTACATGGCCGGCCCAGACCTAGAACCTAGCCTCCCTCTGCAGCCCAGTTCTTCCGACCGAGCCCTGCGCTTGCTTGCTTGCTTTCCAAGCGAACGCTCCCTCCGCCTCCCCTCTGCCGGTCTGGGCTGCTTCCGCACGCCTTCTTCCTCCCGGGCGGAGCGTAAAGATGGGCGGAGCGCTTTCCTGAAGTTGGGAGTCTGAGTGTGTGCAGAGCACCTCCCCTTGCTTGGCCTAATGGAAGTGGACCTTGGGTTGCAGCAAAGAGGGTGAAGTCAGCTGTATTGCTGCCCCAGGGAGGTTGGCATTGCAAAATTGGATGCCAAAGATAGAACTGGGACAGGGGGCTGGAGAAGGGGCAGAGGGGCAGCTGCATTAAGGAGCAGGAAGATCTTAGCCATGGTTTATTGACTAAGCCAGAATCAAACAGCATGCTAAACTCTAACCAGAATGGCTGGGTTGATATATTCAGCCCATGTTTTTCAACCTTTGCAACTTGTGTGGGCTTCAATTCCCACTCTGGCTTTGCTCTACTTTCCCAAAGTACCGCCACTGTCACATTCCTTCTGTCTGTCTGTCCATGTCTGTCTATACATACATACATACATACATACATACATACATAAAGTCTGCCTGTCTTCCTGCCTACCTACCGACCTGCCTGCCTGCCTTCTTTCTGTCTACATGCCTACCTACCTATCTACCAATATAGATCTATCCATCCATCCATCCAAAAGGTCTGTCTGTCTGCCTGCCTTCCTCCCTACCTGTCTGCCTTTCTGTCTACCTACCTACCTACCTACCCACCCACCTACCTACCTACCTCTCTCTCCCTCTCTCCATCCATCCATGTTGGAAGCGCCATCCCCACAGGCACATTGGGAAAGTAGACAAAAGCCAGTCTGGGAGGGAGGGGGAGGAGGGGGAGGGAGAGAGAGAGGGAGGGAGGGAGGGAGGGAGGGAGGGAGAGAGGGAGAGGGGGGGAGGGAGGGAGGGAGGGAGAGAGGGAGAGAGGGAGAGGGAGAGGGAGAGGGAGAGGGAGAGGGAGGGAGGGAGAGAGAGAGAGAGAGAGAGAGAGAGAGAGAGAGAGAGAGAGAGAGAGAGACCTGATGCATCAGTTTGAAATGAGGCCTAGTTTAGACTGAGGCCTTTTCCACATTGAAACATCTTTGCCAGCACATTGAAACCTCTTTGGCTTCTATTAAAGGTTTTGTGGACAAAACATGGTCAAGACTATCAGGAAGGTCTCACATTTTGTTGAGGCTTTAAACAGGGTCCATTGGACCAGATCTCCACCCTAAAAATTACTTTTCCCCAATGTATTACAGTGACAATTCTGAAGAAGGCAAAACCAAAATGTACTGGTAAATTACAAGGAGAACACACGCACACACATTCCCTTCTAACCCTGCTGGAGCAGGTGATTGGACTAGAATAGATATCTCATTATCTTTCTCCTCCCTCCCTCCTTTATTTCTTTTTCTTTCTGTCCCTTCCTCCTTTGTCCCTCTTCCTTTGTCCCCCTTTCTTCCTTTCCCTTTTCTCTTTCTTTTCTTCCTTCTCTCTTTCTCTCTCTCAGGCTCACCCCATTGACTTGACTTGCTTGGGCAGGTCCCTCCAGTGCAGCGGGCTCAACGGGGTGGACCTGTGGGGCCGGCACCTAGAATGTGGCAGTGCCGGCATGTTTGAAAAGTAGAGCAAAGCCAGAGGTCAGTAATTTTTGCTGCAAAGAATCACAAAAGCTTCTGGGTTGTGCACAAGACGGGACACACATGTCAATGCAATTCAGCAACATAAAATAAAGAGATACAAATAAAACAAATCAACAAGAATCGTCAAAACATCTGTGATTCGATTTTATTTATCACTAGAATCTAATCAGAGATGCTTTGCCGATTCTAGTCCAATGACCTGCTCCAGCAGGGCTAGAAGGGTTAGAAGGGAGTGTGTGTGTATGTGTGTGCATAGCTGTCAAAAACTCCAAAAACAGGTCAAGTATCTCTGGGGACGCCAGTCATAAATTAGAACACTTGCTAAACAACTGGCCATTAAGGGAGGACCACTTGTTTGCCACTCACCTGGCCACGCCCACCCAGTCACATGACCACCAAACCACACCTACCCAGTCATGTGACCAGCAAGCCATGCTCAGCCAGCAAGCCACGCCAGCCAGTCACATGACCAGCAAGCCATGCCCACCCAGTCACATGACCAGCAAGCTACACCCTCAAATTAGGCCACGCCCACAGAAATTTGAATCCCATCCCTGGGTATGGGGCACCGAGGATGAGTTTATAGCACCAAGGAGGCAGTGGACTGAAAAAGTTTGGGAACCACTGGGTTAGAATATTTCAACCTCAAAATCCTTTATATACCTTATTTGGAATAATTCTTTTTTTTTTTAAAAGAAGTTGACTTTTGCCACTAATAATCAGAGAAAAAATATGTTTACCTATATCTTTGTAGATTTTTTCATAGTTCTCCATTTCTCTGAGATTCATGTCGTACACTAGTAATGTTTTTCCCATTGAAAATTCACATTGTGAAAGAGTGCTGAGCATGCGCTGATACTGAGTATAGCTAAACATCAGAGAAGGAACATATGGCATTAGTAGACATAAGACATAAGAATTTATTTGTCATTACACTCGCAAGCGGGTGCAACGAAATGAGGTGCTCTTCCACAAGTAAAACTGGACAAACACCACTAAAAAATAAAAAAAAATAAACCAAACACAACCAACCATACAATAATCTCTATACAATTTAAAAATGTAAATACCCCACTACTCTCAGCCATTAGACTCCACAAAAATCTTATGACCCTGCATTCAGACTCAAAACTGCACTTGGATAAAAACTGTTCTTAAATCTGGTCGTCCTTGTTCTTAATACGCTAAATTTCCTTCTCGATGGTAATAGTTCAAAGAGCTGATGTCCCGGATGAGAGGAGTCATTCAATATGTTAAGTATCTTCCTCTTACATCTATTCCTATACAGTTCTTCCAAAGAGGGGAGTGAGCAGCCAATGATGTTTTGGGCCGTCTTGATCACCCTCTGAATTGCCTTTTTCTCTGCCACTATGCAGCTCGAGAACCATACACAGAGACAGTAGGATAATATACTCTCAATTGAACTCCGATAGAAGGTAGTCAATAGACTCTCAGCCAGTTGTTGTTTCCTAAGAATCCTTAGTAAATACAACCGTTGTTGTGCCTTCTTAATTAAAGCAGCGGTGTTTGCACTCCAGGTCAGGTCATTTGTAATGATGGTCCCGAGAAACTTACATTCAACCACCTGTTCCACACGAACTCCCTCTATATACAGTGGCTGAATGTCTGCTTTTTTTTCCCTATAGTCCACTATAACCTCCTTAGTCTTCTTAATATTAAATAGAAGATTTTTTTTTTTGCACCAGCGGGATAGCTGTAATACCTCATCCCGATATGCAGACTCATCATCCCCAGAAATAAGTCCTACAAGCCTAGTATCGTCTGCAAATTTCATTATCCTATTGTTGGGATGTTTATTTGTGCAATCAGATGAATAGATGGAGAACAGTAGTGGACTAAGGACACAACCTTGTGGAGTGCCAATGCTAAGTGTCTTGACAGTAGAAGTAGAAAATTAGTAGCTAACAAACAATTCTCAAATTGGTACAAGTTAAAATAAAATAGAATTTTGTTTTCTCTAATGGTTCTCACCAAATTATGCCAGCAAATCTGAAGAATGACCCTGTGGCCAACAGACTGAAAGGAATCACTTTGTGTACCAGTATAAAAAAGGAGACTTAACAGTGTGCGCAATCTTTGATCGTAGGTCCTTGATTGATGTAATGTATGCATACAATACATATATCTAAATGTAAACCTGTTTTAATTGGGACTTTCTGAAAGTTATTAAAAGTGTTAACTGGAAGCTGGAAAGTTGATATTTATAATAGTCAAATTATTAAGTCTTTTAGTCTGATATAAATGGAGTCAAAATAACCAGTTTTAGAAGGACAATTTATCTGCTCATAGAACTCGAAAAACTAGAATAAGCTGAAGACAAGCAAAATGCAAATTTATTTTAATTTGATAAAATATATAGATTTGTGCACTCAAGTCATTTCTGACATTTGGCAGCTGACATGGAATTTTGTTAAAGTAACCAGCACAACACTGAGGGTAAGGACAATCCTTATTGCAATGATCACAGGAAAGAGGGACTCCCAACAATGGAAATGCAACTATTTTTATAGAAATTGAGGCATGCAAAGTGGGAAATCCTCGGGATCTGACTAGCTGGCCAATTTGGGGGAGTTAGGCAGATCCTTGTTGGTGTACTTGAGTTTTATTGTTAGGCAAAATGGGTGTTTCAGGAGAGTCCCAGTGGGGCAATCCATTGAGAAGGAGGTGGAATGTTGAGGTCACTGGCTGATAAGAAGATGGAAGGCTGAGGTTTCTCTAGGTTGAAATTCCCTTATAAGGGCTGAGGCTTCTATTCTTCATTTAGATGGGACTGCAGAAGGCTTTGTCTGGGGCAGGGAGGGTCAATTTGGATCTGATGGGATTAGGCAAAGAGGAATTGGATTTGACCCTGGCAATACCTCAAGGACAGGGAGGGAAGGGGTGAGGTCTCAGTTTTATTTCTTGGGTTTATTTCTTCCACTACTGCAACTGCTTGGATAAGTCCCTGCAGTTTGTTTGCAAGATTTCTGGAAGTGTTTGTCCTTGCCTACTTCAAGGGTTGAGAGTGTGATTGGCCTAAAATTACTTGCGAGCTTCATGCCTAAGGATGGACTAGAAGTCATACCATCCCAAAGGTGCTTTTTCCAAAAGGCAACTGGACTTCCTTGGTTTTTATATTTTCTGGACAAGTGGACCCATTTCTAAACAAGCCACTAGCACTCATAATCGCTAGCCTACAATGATCTCAATCCCGGAGGAATGATTAGAAATACAATTAGAAAAGAGTGCCTTGTTTTCCAGCATGCCAAATTTCCATTCATTTTAAGAAAAATAAAAACTGAACTAAACACAGTTTAGAAAAAATGTTAGAAGAGTATCAATCTCTTCAGCAGGAGTTGGCAGTGACTGCTTCTTACCCATAGGTGTCATTTGGTTCTCCAAGGCAACAGACAACGTGAAAACTATCACTGAAATCTCACCATGTTGTGAGATTTTGATGTTCTTTTTTAAAAAAATTAAAATCTGTGGAGGAAACAGCTCTTGGAGATTTGGTGGACATTATTTTAGCACTCCCTGCGCTATTATCAAAACATTACAAAAGCACAACATGTATCCAATGGCACAACCATTAGAACAGTAATGTGGTGTCCCAATTCATATTACAGTCACTATCAGAGGTACCTAAAAGACGGTTAGAACCATATTCCATAATATAGTTAGATATCCATAATGTAGCATACAGTATCCAGTGTGAGGAAACTGGTATCCTGTGCTGAAAGAACAGTCTTAACTAAAAATACTTAAAATTTATATAACAAATAAATTGCAATGATTTACTTATTAAAGTCAGATTGATTTTGTCCGATGGCTTTCATTTATTTGTTTCTTTTATAGGATGATTTTGTTTTTTTGTTTTTTAGAAATACAAATCAATGCATTTCCCCCCCAGGATATATTAGCTAGCCTAGATCATATTATTTAGCACTTGCTATAAAACCCATTCATTTTAATTACCAAAGCAATCACCATATTGCCAAAGATGGACTTCAAAAGTTATAGAGCATTGTATCACAACTTGTTCCCCCTTGCATATATGTTAAACCATTTCAGATATTAGCTACAAATTCCATTTTCTATTTAAATAAACATGGGCTATAGATAGTACTGCTATTGAATGAACTATTTCCACATTTGATTTACAAATAAAACACAGCAAAATACCCTTCTTCTTGAGATCCAGAATGGCACCACTTGATGAAACTCTTCACCAGCAAATTAATTCGTCTGTCATCCCCTGCACCATCTCCATCAATCAAAAGTCGCTTGCGAATAACTTCATCTAAAATAGCAATATTTCTAAAATGAGACAAATTATCATTTGTCATAGAAGCCTGTCATTAAAAATGATTTTTTTTCCTAAAAAAAGGAGTCCTAGAGGATTGTTAGCTAACAAAAAGTTCTTGACTCATTTTATAATAAGGATGTGTAAAACATAGACCTCCATGGTGATCTTGTTAACTCAACTGGAATTTCTCTGTAACAATTTAATTAGTTGTTAATTATATGAATAATCAGTTATGAGAACTTACACCACCATTCTATTTTAATTTTTTTTAAAATAATCTTGACTCCTAATGATTACATGGAGAAGTCCATGCAATTTTCTAGACATTTTTGGAAGTGGTTTGCTACTGCCTTCTCAGGGCTGGGAGAAAGTGACTGGCCAAAGTCTCTACTCCTAGTCCAATGACAAACTGACTCACAATCCTATTCAAAAAAAGTCATAGTATATTCAATGGAGTTTACATACAGAAAATTTGACACAAAATTTTAGCCTTCAATATAGAAAAAGGAGAATACAGCATATTATTTAAAAATTAACTACAATTATATAAAAAGTTCATCAAAATTATAAATGTATTAAAATAATTTCAAGCACAGTATTGGGAGGAAAAGAGATCATTTAATCTTTAAATCAATGGGGTATATCCATAGAAGAACAAAATCTGAAAACAGAATAAGCTATATATACTGGAGCTGTAACGTAGGAATAAAACAAAAAGTTAATAATGCGTCAATCAGAAGCAAGAGCAAAAAAAGAGGATGTGCAGAAAATCATGTTAAAGCAAACACAACTGGGTATGGCAATGCATAGGGTATGGCAAGCTCTTGCTATCAACTAATATTCTTGTGCACAAAAATACATTAATGATCATGAAAACGGGAGGAAGAGTAGGAATAAGGAAGAATCATATATTATTATTTAGTATGTAAAGACCAACTGCTAATATGTAGAGTCTGTATAATTGGTTAAAAGCAGCAAAAAAATAAGTCTCTGATCATATGCAGAGCTCTAAAAGTGATAGACAGGAAATTTTCTTCAGACTTTTTTTTTAGATATAGAGGTCATCTGACAAGAGAAATGATTCTGAACTGAAACCATAGCAGATAGAGGCCACGTAACATATATGTCATGAAGGCTTTATAGATAATAACTGGCAATTTGAATTAATTCTGCAAGCTATGGATTGGGTCAGGTCAGCAAGCACAACATTCCTTTGCCTTATTCCAGTGTTCTCTATAAATAAGTATCATGTCCATTCATAAGAAACTGTAAAAAAATAAAAGCTCAAGGTATGAGAGTGTATGCTCCAGTTTCTTGGATGCCAAGAACTAAAATAGGGGTTCCTAAACTCTTCAGCTCATTAACTCTTTCCTGAAGTTTCATTTATTATATGAAAATATTTTAATATACACCACTTTGATTAACAGTACGATGAATAACAACAAGAAGGCCTTTGGGAAGGCCTTGATAGGCAGACAAAAATGCCAAATCCAGTCTAAACATCTGCATGACTGTGCAACAAACCATAACAACAACTGACTCTTTGGATAGTCCCATTGAACCTTTGGGGACGACAGTGACCACTTTATGGAGCTTTATAGAATCACCTCCACAATAACCCAACTTGTTGAATATGAAACATCATACACACATTTTTTTCTCTCCCTCCTTTTCCCCTTTTCATTTTTCTAATCCCTATTTTTTTAGGTTGCAATTTACTTACCTGGAATCAAGGAACACTATAAAATTGCCTCTTTAACTCCAAAGCTGCCCCATGCCCTCATGGCAGAACATAAGTCATTATTAAAAAAGAAATAATATAAAAACGTCTAAGAAGAGAGAGATGTGAGCTGAAAGGTTGGGGGTGTGTGAATCCGGATTACCACTAAACGGTAGCACCGGGTTAGCTTTTCCCCTTATCGCTCAGATACTTGTTATTTTTGATGTTTGTTATTCGATCCCTGTTCGTTTTGTGAACATTTGTTACAGCACAGTCCCCTGAGTTCCCTGTGGGCTTATTAGCTGCTTTTGTGTCTTTTTAGTTTTGCGCGCCGCCCAGAGTCCACTGGAGCTGGTCAACGGCCAATGCATTTTCATAATAACAATACCGTCCACAGGTCGTCCCTATTCCTGCAGCCTAGCCGTACGAAGAGAAGTAAGCGTTAAATAAATTCATATTTCAACCCACCCTTCCAGTTCACCTAAAGGCGCTTTCCTTCGGTTTCTTTGATGAACCGGACCCGATTTTCCGGGCAAGTTCCGCCACCGAGCCCCAAGCTAAGCCCCACGGGCTCTATTTGCAAAAACACGCGAGGCAAAACCCAAACCCAAAAGATCTCGTGGCCGCCGCTTCTGCGGCTCGGGGGGTATCGTGGGAAGCTCGCCACGGAGAGTTGCGAGGCGCCGTCAAGGCAGAAATGAGCCCGGGAGGAATCGGGAGGCTCAGCCGGCGGGGAAGAGAGTCCTAAATCTCGGGGTTGGGGGGTGGGAACGTAGAAAAAGTGAATCCACCCCCCGGCCCATCACTATCAGCGCGGCTGAGGATTAAGGCAGCGGCCGAGCCGGCTTGGAAAGGCCCTACCGGCCAAGAAGGGAGGGTGGCGGGGAAGCTCAAGCTGGGCCCGTCCGGGAAAAGCGGGCGGAAGCAGGCGGCAAGGGAGGTCGCGGCCGGCTCCGGGGGTCGCTCCGTCTCTCACCGTCGGTTACAGCTCCCATGGCAGCGGCGGCGCCGGCGACTGCTGCAGCTGGTGGTGGTGTTGCTGCTGCTGCTGGTGGTGCAGGAGCCGGTCTGGGCGGCGGCGGCGGCGAGTGAGGTGGGACCGACTGAGACGGCCGCTTCCCACAATGCAGCAGCGGCAGCCGGGTGAGCGGCAGCCATGGAGGGGGAGGAGGTGGTGGCGTCGTCGTCGTCGTCGTCGGTGGCGGCGGCGGCGACGGTTGGGGCCTGAAGCTCGCCGGGCCGAGACAAGGGGGAGGGGGGGGGAAAGGCGGGAAAGGCGGCCGAGGTTGGCGAGGCAGGCGAGCCCGGGCGGCAGCCGGGCTGCTGAAGTCTGCCGCCCAGGGAATCCCCGGTCCTGTGGGCCAGGCCTCCCCTCTCCAGCAGGGCGCCTTCCTCACCAGGTGAGGACAAAACCAGGGAGGGTGGCAGGTGAGGGGACAGGGCTCCTCCCCCCTGCCCAGGTGTGCTGTGGAGGGGGGGAGGAGGAGGCCTGCCTTGGCCACTGGCCTTGTAACCTTTGGCGACCTTTGCTCAGCCTCCCCTGGGGCTGCCACCATACTTTGTGCCCGTGCCCTGCTGACCACCTGTGCCACATGTGCTCCTCTTGGCTTTTGCCAGAGTCCAAATGCTGCTAGGGGACTTCCTTGGGTTTCATTGTTCTGCCCTTATTTTCCTCCCCCAGTCAGTCCTTTCCTCTCTTCTTCGGCTTGCTGGTACCGTTGTGGGTCACTTTCCTTTCCGCGGGTAACATTGCGCAATAGTGTCACAGCGGCAGCTGCTAACTGCCATGGCTGCAAACCATCCGGTGCATTGTGCGGCCGTCCCTGTCGGGATGCCCGTTTATAATTGGCACCGTTGCTGTGTGCGGTGAAGCTTCTGCCATCAACATCCTCATTGCTATGTCATTCTCATTGACTGTCGCTTCCATCTTTCCATTTTAGTATCCGTCGCCGATGCGGACGCTGCTGACACCAATCGCAGCTTTGCCATGACTAGGTCTCCCAGTGAAATTGGCCATTTTCGCTACTGCACCGCTATCCTAAATACAACTTTTCTTGTATATCCCCTCTTGATTTCTTTGAAAGCCTTATAATGGAACTTTTCTCGGAATCACATCGTTTCATGTGGTTTTCCCCACATGTATGTTTTCAGCTTTGCTGTTAATGTGTTGTGTCTCTATTTTTTTATTGGTGGTGTTCTGGCATTAATATCAGAAAACATACACTAAAATACTTCAATTGTGTCACCGTCATTTCTTTCCCTTTATTTCTGCTATTCCTCATCCATGCCCTGTTCCTTTTCATCACCTTTATGGGTTAGGTAGGAGGCTGGACTAGATGACCTCTGTGGTCTCTTCCAAACCTGTGAGTCTATGATTTTTACTACACTAATCCGCTTGCTGAAATTTTCTCCTCATAGTGTCTGCAATGTTCTGTTTAACTTATTGCCTCTATTATTTTCCATTATGTTTTGTTTTCTTTGATAACTTCCATTGTGAATTTTCTTACATTTCTATATACTGTGGATTTACTTCCTTTTCCTTTTCTGAAATTAGTAATGTACATCCCACTTCTATTATTTTGCCTTTGAAACCTCTAGTCTACCATTTCTACTATTGTTGATATGATTGTTTTTGTTGTACCATTGTAAACATATGGATGTAAATCACTTGACAGGATCCATTTAGTAACTCTTACAAGTGGATTAAATGTTACAATGCCTTAGTGATTTTCATAGCTTTGATAGTGTTTTACTTATTATTGCTGTCCTTTGCAGTTTGTTACATATGTTTCACTGAAGATAGTTGCTTTTGTTGAAGAACTATAATTGGTAAAACAAAATAGTAAGATCATAGCAGGTAGCTAAGTGAAAAAAAGCTAAGCAGAGTCAGACATTGTTTGCAACTGGATGGGAGACCACTACGTAATCTCAGAGTACACTGCAAAGTTTTTTTTAAAAATCCTGAAAGGAAGTGGTGGCAATTTATTGTTATAAAGAATGCACTTGTCGATGAATTCACAGAATTCACTTACCTCCAAGGAGTCGACTTTAAATAAGAGGGAGTATTTGATTTTTAAAAAATGGTGTTTCCTTTATAGTATTCATAATAAGGAAAGTTGAGTCATATTAAACGAGGAATATTGTGACTCATCCCATTTTTTTCCTTTGCTCTATTGAAAAGTTGAAATATGAATGGATTCCACAATTCATATATAAGGAGATCCTTGTATATCAGATTAAAAATTCTAGATATTTTTTATTTAATTTCAGTAGTTAATCCAGAATTGGAGCTGTCGTTGTAGATTCTGCTGTGGGTGAGGAAGAATGTGGAGGTTTTAGAAGCATAACTATTTTTCTATTTATGTTGTTTCTGTTTTCCTGACAATTTAAGTATCAGCTGCTGATAGTAGAGTGAAGAATAGTGTTCATACTGGGAAAAATCAGGCAAAGAGGCAGAAGCAATTGTTTATTCTTGTTCTTATGGAATTATTTCTAAACCCAGTCAAAGTTCCACCAGTGGTTCAGGAAGAGAGTGAAAGACAAAATAATAGAAATGTATTGAATTTTTAAAGAAAGAAGGTAAAGGAGTTTTGGAACTATCTAAGTATTGTATGTTGAAAATTATACTGATAACAGTGGAAAGCTATAGACTTGTGGAACTGCATGCTTTCAGTAATCATGAGTGGGAATCTATTTTCATTCAAGCAAATATATTTCCAAGTTTGAAACACTAGAGCACGGGTCACCAACCTTTTGGACCTCAGGGATCACCAAACTCATAATTTTAAATCCCAGGGACCACTAACTGGTTCTGTGGGTGTGGCCTAATTTGTGGGTGTGGCTTGGTGGTCATGTGACTGGCTGGGCATGGCATGTATGTAAATATAAATATTTATATAAATATTGATTTTTTTTAATAAAAAAGAGCAATTTTTACCTAAAATCAGGCAAAGCAGACAGGCAGATTGAGTTGCTCACAGAATCACAGCTTCATTCAGAAATCTCTATCTGCCATTGGCTAGCTCAGTCTATCACATAAAATTTGCTTGCAAGCAAACTCATAAAATTAACTCACAACACACCATGTATGTAAATATTGATTTTCTTTACCCAAAATCAGGCAAAGCAGACAGGCAGATTTAGTTGCTCACAGAATCATTCAGTGATCTATCTATCTGCCATCGGCTAGCTCAGTCTCTCAAATTTGCTTGCCAGTCTGCACTGGATAATAGAACCTTCAGTCCTAAGGGAGGTTTGGCTGTGCTTAAAAGCAGAGCTGAAGATCTAAAAACTAGCTAGAAAGCAAGAAATCCAACCATTTCCTGCTTCCTAGCTAATCTAAATCTCCCGGCACAGCAGAACAGATGATGGTCAGAAAAAGGAAAAATAGCAATTTAGTAGGCAAGTTTGCTGGGTAAGGAGTGAGTGGGCAGGGAGGGTTCCCGCGGGCTATGTGGGTGCCGCAGCCTTGTGTTTCTGCGCAGCCTGGATTAATTGTTTTTGGAGGAGGTGCTGTGAGGGTGAGATTTCTCTGTGGCCCACCAAAATTTTCTCGCGACCACTACACTAGACATTTCGTTTTCATGATTCCTTGTTTTTAAGCATCAGTAGTAAAATAATATATGAATAGCTTTTTATGTTTTCAACATTTTTTTTGCCACAGATTGGTATTTCTTTTCAATGTGTTTATTTTGGAACTTTAAAGAATGATTATAATGCGCTGTGTATTTATAAGAAACAGCAAAGATGCAGTGATTTGTAATTTGCTCCACTTTAAATGTGAATTTGTATCAACATAGATTTGGATCCTGAGAATAACTTCTAATAGAAACTCAGGAAATGCAATACAAGACGAAGCCAGTTCTGTCTGTCTAATATCTTGTTTATTGGGTTGTAAGCTGGGGGGGTCTTCAGTTCAGAAATGGGAAAGAGTTGCTAATAATCTATTTTTACCAGTAGCAGCGAAAGGATTTTTTATGTTGCTATCTTTAAATCATTCTGTTGAAATGAGGAAAAATTGTATTAGCCTGGTATACTGTACATTTCTATAAACAAGTGCTATAATTTCTATTCAGTTTTGCTATTGAAAATAAATTCTGTCAGAGTATTCTTAATTCTTAAGTTTATGCATTTTCTGAGCTCCAGGTGGTATATCAGAAGGTTTTCGTTAAAAAAAAGCAGTGCCTCTAACCAGAACTCTGTCCAGTTCTCTTCTGAATTCCCAAATGCAGTCATTACAGGTAATCCTCAACTTACGATCACAATGGAGCCCAAAATGTATGTTGTTAAGTGAGTTTTGCCCCATTTTATGACTTTTCTTGGCAAATTTGTTAAGTGAATTGTTGCAGTTATTAAATTAGTAACATAGTTGTTAAGTGAATCTGGTTTCCCCATTGCCTTTGCTTGTCAGAAGGTTGCAAAAGGGGATCACATGACCCCGAGACATTGCAACCGTCATACATGTGAGTCAGTTGTCAACAATCTGAATTTAAATCACAAGACCACCTTTGGGATGCTGCAATGGTCATAAGTGTGAAAAATGGTCATGTCACTTTTTTTTCAGTGCCATTGTAACTGAATGGTCACTAAGTGAATTGTCGTAAATGGAGGACTACAGGTATTATTCTGTGATACTGAATAATTCTGGCAATGAGAGTTCAATAGAACTTAGGGCTGCATTTCAGAGTTTCCCCTCTTAATAGATTGTTCAGAGAAAAGTGCCTGGATGCTTGTCTTATTTTCTTAACACCCTCACTCCCCCTCCACCAAGTGTAGTTGCTATCATATCTACATGCTACTGCTTGGCTCCTGCTGAGTAGTGGCTATATGAAAATTGAATATACTTGTTTTCTATGTTGGTTTTATGGGACTGAACAGTTATTTGGATTCAAAGAAACAGTTATTTCGAACAATGCAGGGAGGTGAATATTTCACCTACCTACAACTCCTTAAAAGCAGCTGCCTGGAATCTCATACAACTCCGCACAACTGCAGTATGATCCTAGAAACAGATGCATTGGGTTTAAGAAGTTGCAGACAGGTGTTATTTGCCCACAACTCCAAAGCACCACTTTGCCTTTGAATCTGAAGCTCTGCTACACAGCTAATATGTATTGTCAGCAAGACACAAAATCCATTCTCCACCAAAGCCAATAGGAAAAGTGATATTGGGTCATGTAGTAATC